ATTGTCCCCAGTAACAGGCATTTCCTGCTAAAGAAGGTTGATTCTGTCCTCTCCCAGGTCTTGTCTTTTCCTTTTCTTTTCTTTTTTTTTTTTTTGAGACAGAATCTCACTTTAGCACCTTTGGTAGAGTGCTGTGATGTCACAGCTTAGAGCAACCTCAAACTTTTGGGCTCAAGTGATTTTCTTGCCTCAGCCTCTGAAGTAGCTGGGACTATAGACGCCTACCACAGCACCCAGCTATTTCTAGAGACGGGGTCTCCCTCTTGCTCGTGCTTAGACTGGTCTAGAACCCAAGCAGTCCACCTGCCTTGGCCTCCCAGAGTGCTGGGATTACAGGTGTGATCCCAGGGTGCCCCCGGGTCTTTGCTTTTCCTCAGCTCCTCCTGCACACTGTGTGCTGACACCTTGGCATCTGGTCTAGTGCTCAAGGCTGGGCCGTCTTTCTTGCCTGAGGGAATTATGAATGTTGACTGGGCCTGGCTTCTGGTATGTCTTTTCTGGGAGGTCAGCCTCCTCCTCTTGCATCTCTTGTGTCTTCATATGGTGCTACCCTGATGCTTTCCATGTTTCCATGTTGGCTGGGCCCCTCTTGTTGTCTTTGAAGCCACAAGGCCATGTGCAGGAGAGTGTAGATAATAGAGTGTGGGATAGGGCATGCAGGTTTCCTCTGCAGAGACTGTGTGGCCTGGTGCCCAGGAGCTCAGGATCTAGTCAAGAGGCCTGGGCTCCATTTCCAAGTTGTGGAAATTGAACAATTTCTTTAACCTTTCCAAGCCGAATATATATAAAGATGGTATTAATCTCTCACCTTATGGAGTTACTGTTGTTATAATGATGAAATGAACCAAGCTAATGAGTAATGCTGGCATATAATAGGTGAGTTACAGTCATGCATTTGCAGGTCCATTGCTTTCAGCCTAACAATAGTAACTTTACCACAGCCCATAAGACATGCAGACACACCCTGTTTCTTACAAGTGGAGAAAACACAAGTGGCTCCTAAGATACATAAGGTTAGCCTTTATTGGTTCAAGTTGCTAGTGGTCCTGATTAGGGTGTCTCTTTCTAGGAGAGGCAGCTCTGGGAGGGCCAGAGTTTGCTCCTCTGCCCGCAACCTGGTGATTCCATGTGGTGATTACAGAGAACCAGCCTTTGGACCGGCTCTATTGCAGAAAACCTGATGTGTCTTTTTTTCTCAGTTGGCTCTGGGTCCTGAAGAAAGGAGGGCCTCTCTTAAATCCCTCAAAGTGGTATTTGTAAGACTAGAAATGGTTGCCCTAGAATCACATGATATGCTCTTAATCTCATGTACTTTTTCATGACCACGGACTCAGAATATTGGGGCCAAAAGGAGGCTCAAATATGCCTTTGGCTCAGTGTGTCCTTGCAAATTTACAAATGCAGCTTCTACACTATAGGGTACAGGATTGGTTGTGGGGAGCGTAGGGGCAGAGCAAGACATCCTGATTCTGGCCAACTTAGAGAGAAATGTGTTGGGACACTAATGGGACAGGGACACACTGGGCTGACTGGTGCCCAGGGACCAGGCTAGGAGATGGGCAGGAAGCCCAGTACCACTGCACAATCAAATACCCTCCATCTATAGCTCTTGGCCTGGACCTACCTCCAGCTGGCTTTTTGTCCCTTGCTCAAATTGGCTGACATATCTAAGCTCTGGCCCCATAGCTCCCTGTTGGTCTGGTTCTCTGGCTGTGAGTACCTGGAATTATTCTCCCACCAAACCATAAATGTAGGAAAAGGACAATTTTTTAAAAATGAGAAGAAAAAAGACGAGTTCTTATTTGGGAGGGAAATGGCTGCTCGGGTAAATAGACATCACCAGCTGACTCGGGTTGAGTTGTGGAAGTCCATTCCTGGAGAAGTTGAGTGACGTGTGAGGAGGAAGGAAGTGCTTGGGAAGTGTGGGAGGACAGAGCAGGGAGGCCTGCTACTCCTAGGGAGGGTCCTGTACAGGAGGACACCAGAGGATTGGGAGGCTGGGTGGTGGTAGAGGGAGTGCAGGAGGGAAAAGATTCTAGACTGTGAGATTGGAGGGTAGACTGTGTACAGCCTTCAGAGGTGAGAAAGGGGGAAAGATTCACACAGGGTCCCACAGAGATGGATGGGAGAATTGGGCTGGAGCCTACACCCCTGCTGCTGGCCCTGTGGCCTGTGCTGCTGCTTTTGCTGCTAGAAGGGGTCAGTTGCAGGAGGCTCAAGGGAGGGTATTGCTGAGCATAAGAGAAGTTCGTTCTCAGGTTATGATCAAGAAAGAGCTGCCATGGCACTGGGGCCCCTATGAGAAATGTCAACAGGATCAGCAGTTTGCAAGCATGGTTGTGGTCCTGATGCAGGAAGTTTGTGTATAAGGAAAAGGTGAGAAAGAACTGAGAGAACATTAGCGACAGAGCAGGTGGGAGGATGCAGTGGGTGAGTGAGTGCAGCATTCAGAAGTGGCTGGGTTTTCTCTCTCTTATATGAAAATATGATGAAAACATTCATGTTTCTGAAAAAATGAGGCTGTATGACAAGGGAAAGGGCAGAGAGGGCTATTGCCTCATCTCCACACAGACACGGTATTTGGAAAGTCCAGTTACTACATCAGATTGCTTCTGATCTGCCCACAGAGTACACTCTTCTGAGTGACACCCAGGAGGGGCCTGTTCAGTGGAACATGTGAATTGGCACTTTCAGGGACACATGGGACTTGCCACTATGTCACATTGGGTGGACAGAGTAGCTCCAGCCCACAAAGGATCCTCATTCACCAGGCAGTGAGAGAAGGTTCTTGATGTGTTTCATTGCCTCCCACCTAAGTTTCCCAGCATCGGGTCCTCTGGGGTAGAAAAGTGTTTCTGGCAAGGTCAAGGGCATGGGCTCATTCAGGCTCATGTGCCTGTGAGTGGGCACTTTGCCTGCTGTGGCAGAGGAAGGAACACTGGGACTTTGCATTGGGACAGCAGAGAAGGTTTCATGGGAAAAGGCTATCTAAGCTAGCTCTAGTGAGGGAGGAGGGCATGTCAGAAGGGAGGACGTGAACAGAGGCACAGAGGCAGGAAGTATGGTCATAGTTTTCCAGCAGCCAAGGTCAGATCTCTTTGTCATGCTTTCCCCTTTTGTCATGCCCACCTACTTACTATTACTAATTTTTAGTATAGTTGTTTATTAAAGACTTTACTTAAGATGGAAGATTAGGTCCCTGCTGTGCATTGCAAATTAACATCACTGTTTTGGACTTTGCCATCAGCTTTTCTGGGCTGCCACTGTCTGCCCCTTGCTAGAACTCATAAGTCTTGGCTTGTCATTGCCTCCTGTGAATGGCCATGCCCTCCACTGTCATCATTGTAATCTTTTGTGTGTGTGTGTGTGTGTGTGTGTGTGTGTGTGTTTTAGAGACAAGAGTCTCACTGTGTCACCCTCGGTAGAGTGCTGTGGCATTATAGCTCACAGCAACCTCTAACTCTTGGGCTTAAGCAATTCTCTTGCCTCAGCCTCCCAAGTAGCTGGGACT